AGTGATTCCCAAAGTGGTCTATATCGACCCCCAGGGGTCTATGACAACCTGCAGGGGTCTACGTCAGCGAAAAAAAAAATTGGGGGTCCATGAAATGAAAATGGGGGTCCACGATAGTGGATCTCAACCGGTGGCAATCAAAATCCCGACAACCATAATCCCGACTATATCGAAATCTCGACTGTATCAAAATCCCGACTGATATGTATCATGACTGATAGCTCATAGTGTTTCATTGTAATTATTTTATTCATTTTTATATTATAATAAAGATAATTTTAAAAATTCGGTTAAACGCCAATAAGTGCGTTACAAACAAATAAACACCTATTTCACCATTTCAATTTCCTTCTTCGCTCAAACGGATTTTAATTGCAATAATCAATTAAATCGATTTATAATAGCGCAAGGAGACGATTACTGTAATTAAATATTCGCAGTAGGAAGAAGCACTGATTTAACAATCAATTTTCAATTATATTTTATACAAATTTATTATTATCCCCATTTAATTGACGCCATTTCTGGTGATTTTTTTGCTCTACGACCGTCGGACTTTCAGATAATTATCCTACTCGAAGTTAACGCAAACAACTTTAATTAAAGTTTTAGTTTTTGAACGTGGTTAGTTTGTTTGTTTTGATCCACTGACTCGTTTTGATTCGTTGCGTACCAATGGGACGGACGCAACTACTTTACATATCGTTTTCGACACGTGAAGTCTCAAGGAAGTTGAGTAAATCTCCTTCAGTACACCGCACACCGTGTCCAGATCGGTTACTTACATTTATGTGTTAACAAACTCAAGTTTAAAACAAATTATTAATGATACGTTACGTTTTTCTAGTATTATGAAATTCGAAAAAGCCAGCTTCCTCAGTTTCAAAAGTAAGTTCTTAATTAATTAAACTATTACAATATGCACTAACTATATTATAATTTATTAAAAGAAAACAATAATTAGATGTTTTAAAAATAGTTTTTACATATCGTCCTTCTTTAACCTTCTTTGTTGACTCTCTTCCATATGTATACAACATAAAATTATTTAGAAAAACAAGTGAAAAATTCCTTGTTTACATACCCAAAAATATTGGCAACACTGATCAAATTACATTTAAATTACGAGAATATTTATAATTTTCTATTGATCAAGATTCCTGATTAATTATATTTATATTAACAGATATTACCTACTAGATCGTTACTTTATGGTATTCAATGAGATGTTGGCATTTATATGTATGATAGCGATTTTATCGAAAGATAATTCAACCAAGTACAGATTTGTACTTCGACCTATTTCATATTGATTGGAATTTTTTTTTATATATTTTATACATTATAAAAGAACACAAAAAATTCTTAAATATATTGAGTAATTAGTTTTAATTAAATATTAGAGGAATTGAGATAAATATAGAAATTATTATAGATTTCTAAATTTTATTATTTAGCAACAAGATAAAAAAGTAGATTATCTTTTAGCAATGCGAATAGAAAGAGATAAAAGCAAGGACAAATTTTGGTCCTAGAAACGTTCTTTAACGATGTGTGAAATGCGAATGTCAAATTTATTTGCGAACTTGAAGTAATCGTGTAAATTCAGTCACGTCAAATAACCGCAAAACTGTTACTCTCTATTAATCAATCACAAATCTATGCATGTCTTTCGCTATAAAAGGCCAATTAACCGACTAAATTCAAATCGTAGACTTGTTGTTCCACCTGCGACACGATAACATCTAAATGGCGGTAAATAAATTTTCGCGCTCCGCATTTCTTTGGCCGAGACAAACTCTAAATCACGTTCCAGACCAAAAAAAAATAAACACTCTTACACACACCATTTAATTTATTGCAATTTGATTGGGTCGACGACGTTTTGCCTTGCTCTCGAAAACAAAGAAGCTCTCTCGGGTGGTCCTAACGCATTCAACGTTGCAGACTTTCTCCAATTATTTGTAATTTAAAAGAAGTAAGACAAAATGCCATTTGATTTACATTGGGATAAACGCTCTATGACTTCAATGATAAACTATAGTTGAATTGATTTATTTTGCAAAGGAGATAAGCTTGTGGAAGCGGTTTTTTCTGCAAGGCGTAATAACATGAAGTGTCTTGTAATTATATGCAATTATATTGATATTTATTATTACTGGAAATACAGTATATCATTAATTACGGCAAATTCAATATGTTATAAATTAAGTGTGTGTATAACATTATCAGATTGATTTTCATTCATTACATTCTTTGCATCGGCTTCACGAGAAATAGCTGTTATTAGACGTAAAATAATAATCATAAGGCTTCATGATCAATAGTCCAATCGAATAACTATTAATTGCCAACTATTTTCAAGCATGAACTATGAAAAGATAAATTACATTATTCTCAATAAGGAAGAACATTATTATTTTCACTCAAGATCTTAACTATTTTCACATGAATATTAAATTCTAGATAATCTATTGTACTTTTTATTTTACGTAAAATTAATTTTCTTTAAACTTAATGTTAACTTATTGTGAATATAATGTAACTGATATAATACACGTGTTTATCAGATATAGCGCAGTTATGTGATGAGTAATCGTATACACTGAATTCCCAGGATAATATCTGGATGAAAAATCGCTCATGTATGGCTGGTTGTAAACATATTTATATACATTATATACAAGTTATATGGATGCAATTTAATACTACGAAGCTTGTCATACACGAGTGGACTTCTGTCTGGTTTATTTACATATTTTATTTAATCCACAAAGATCAGTATTTTGTATAATTTTTGATATTAAAGTATATAAAATTAGTTCAAAATGTAATGATTATTTATCATATGTAACAAACTTTCCAAATATCTATCAAAAATATTCAATTTTCGTTAAGTGCTTTAGCAAAAGCAAGATGTTACAATTGAAGCTAAAAATTGCCAAAATAACGGATATTGCTACATTTTACTAAGTAAAATTTTTATTTAAAGAGTGTACAACAATTTGTTTCTCTTACGACCTTCGGGAAACCCATCTTGCATAACTGTTACATGAGAATCAGTGCACGCAAATGCAGTCATCATTTTCTAATGTCAACTTTAAATATCTATTAAAAACAATAGCTTTTAACATTAATTTACTTTGCTTTTTTTTATAAAATTACTTAATTATATTTATATTTATGACCTAAAATTGTTGAGTAATTTGTAAATTAATTAGTATTATTTTTTTTTCAGATTATTGGAATTTTGAATTTGCAAATGTAAGTATTTAACAAAAGTTTATTAGTAAGAAATATTCACTATTTATTTATTAATTAAATTAAAATTTCTACTTTGTTTAAATTCAAATTGAAAACTGAAATTAATTAGTTAAAATCAATTCAATTTAACCTAATTATTTTAAAAGATATATAAGTTATCAATAGTTTAAATTTTTAGATTATTATGATTTTTTTTTCCTTGTTTGTTCTTGAAAAATTACCTTTGCAGTAGATTCAACTGAAAGGAATGAAATTGTTCTTAATATGATTTTTTTAATAAGTTATTTTATACTTAAAAAGTTGAAAGTTCATCTAGGTTTAGATGTAACTTTAGAAATGCGTATTGTAATTTCTTTAGTTATTTGCAATTTCTTGTGTAATTTAAAAACTTCACAATATGCTTTCTTCATAATTTCATTAGTTTTTTGAATACCAGATGTAGCTTTAAAAGACGTAGTTAGTTTTTGCTTAGTAAATCTAGTTGAAGCGTAAGAATCCCGTTTCATAGTAAATGTAGAACTATTCTTGAAGTTCATCTATAATTTGTTCATCCGAATTTATATTCAATTTTTATAATATTTTTCACAGGATTAAGTTAATTTACTTGTAAATGAAATAAAGCAAATGAAATTTTCTGTTACACTTCATTAATTACAATAAAACTGTTTTCGAGGAGAAATCTTAATAACTAATAACATTACTTAAAATCCGTGTAATGACTTGTGGATTTAATCGCACGTGTGAACTTGCATAATAAATGAATGAATGCATCGACGTCCGTACATTAAGTTAGAAAATTAATGGACTTCGAACGAAGATCAGCGCATCAACGAGTTTTTCCCTCGTGGAAGGCCGACAACGAAAAGGTTCCCACTTGATAATGATAAATAATTAAATTAATTAGAGAGACTTTATCGATTATTGCCAAACGATTATTATTGCATGCTTTGTATGTTTAATAGGGCAATCCTTATTAGCGATTTTTTTCTACCTTATCCCCAATCTTCTCAAGACATATCATTGCGATGATTTATTGGGAAATAATTGCAGAACTCACGTTTTGCGCTTTTTTTTCATTATTCCACCCGCTGCATGCGATGCGAGGAAGAGAGATGTGGCAATTACTCTTCAACATAATAAGAGCGATTTCCTATTCGCGTCTCCATTTGCGATATTAAATTGCAAATCGATAGTTGATCTACATGATTCGTTTTTTTTTTCTCATTTTGATTTGTTTTTTCTCTTCATTTTCGCTTATTTCTCACACTTTCGCTTTCGCGAAAAATCTACTATACTCTCTCTGATGGCGCACATGCTGTTCTCTATATATTCTCAAGTTGAAGTGCACATGCAGAAGTCAAATAGATTATTGTAATTAAAGAAAATTGCTACCTCTGAGGTAAGCAGGCTTCCATTTAATGTCAACTAATTAACGAAATAACCACGTGCTCCTTCAATCGTTCTCTTTGATAACGTTCGTAATGAGAGTGGGATCACTTTTACTTTTAGAACGGACGACACTAGGAATGATCACATTTATTTGAAGGTAATGAATACATTACGCCTTTACGCCTCTTTTTTTTTCTCTTATTTTTCACCATTTTCTAAATCAATATTGTTTATGTCGTAATTTGAGTTAATTGAAAAACAATAACAGCTTATAATCCATTCTTCATGTGTGCTTTTTTATATTTAGTATTGGCAGGTAACAAGCGCATGGGCGTCTATAATTATTTATAGCTTCCACAATGAAATATCTATTCTCTATTATAATTCCCTTAGAATTTTTGCTTAAAGGACGTGTGAATTATGAAAACGTTGCATAATTCGATTGTTGTGCAATATTTAAATATTTATGGATCATTGCGCGGAAATAAATTATGTTCGCATATATCACGTCAAATATAATAAATGATCGGTCATTCTAATGCAATCCGTGTTACGTATATATGTAATCCGTGGTCTAATTAAATCAAATGATATATCGTTTCCAAATAATTTACCAAAAGCGGGAAATTTATTCCTCGATGCATAACGCGGCCTTCGGAGTAATCCTCCTACGGTTTAGTGCACCTGTCTGGAAGTTCTTAAACGCCTCCTTATGAAATTACCTTAAGCAAATCATCAGAATACAATATGTAAATATACTACGTACTTTACATAACGTTGTTATTTTTAATGAGATTGACTTTTAGTCATAATTAATCGGCTTAGATTTCACTTCAATTTTATAATTAGCATATCAAATTCAGTTATTGACATTTGTTAAATTAATATAATTCTATATCATTTATATTTACAAAAGCAAAGCATACAAATAGTTTTACAGGGTGTCCCAAAATGAACTGATATTTTAATATTTTATTTAAACATATTTTTTATTTGATTATTGATAATAGTTTTGCTTCATTAGAAAGTAGAGGCATGGAGATTATGTGTGATACAAAACATTTGACAAATGACTGCCTCTGTCTTCGCAGCACATGTTCATAAAATTTTCACCTTGACTAACTGCTGGGAAATTTCGGGAATTTTGTGTTAAATTTCATCTTTGATGTCCTCAGTGGTTTACGGTTTATTGATGTACATTCTAGTCTTAAGAGTATCCAAAAGAATTAAGTGTAAAGTCAGATCACTTTCGACATAACATGATCATTTATTTTATGTTGTATTTATGCAGTAAAGGCTTCAAGGGCAGATTGACATGTTACATCATCTTGTTGACACCACATGTCTTCCACATCTCCAAAAAAAATGGTGGCAAATTTAAAATGTCAGTTCTTTTTGGGACACCATTTAGTATACTTGATATTGATTACAATAATAAAGTTTTTGTTAAACAAGTTGAAGTCTAATTGGATCAAGTCTTAGTATGAATCTTATTTGATACTAAATTTCAATAAAAAAAAATACATCTTCTATAATAAACTGAAAAGTTTAATAATTCTATATGAGAATATGTGGATGAAATATTTGATTATTTACTAATTTTTAATGGCATTAATTTGAGGTAATGACTATAAAAAAATGTTTTGTCGATAGATTATTTCAGACATTGTAACAAAGTTGAGTTAAGTTTAATGTAAATCTATAAATTATTCTTGATATGTAAAGATTACAACTAAGGAGACAAATTAAGTCTAAACAAACATTATCTGCAGTTGTAAATATAATTTGCAAGTATGATGTACCATTGTTCATAGTTTAATTCAAATAGGAAAAAAACAGTAAAGTATGCAGCTCTATTGTTATTTGCTTAGAAGAGTATGCAAATAAAGTGATTTTGTAAAAAAAAAACGTAACATTCATTTCTTGTAAGAAAAAGTAATGTAATAGCCCAGTGCATTCCATACAACCGGATTTAATTTTAGTGCAACGGCCTTTTTGAATGTATAATATATATAAATCAGTCCGTAAAAGGTCGATATTAATGATCAATCTAGAATTTAATTTATTTTATTTCATTTACATGTTCGATCTTTTACACATATAAATATATAAATACATGTCTCAATATATCTGAGTGTGTTTTTTTAGTCCAATTGGCCACAGAGTAAAATCTTTGGATGTAAAATTTATGGACTCGGTTTACAGTTATCTTTCCAGTAAGTGCCGCCTTAATTGTGGCAGTGGTCTTTAAACCTAATTAACGTCAAATTAAAACGGATCACCTTTGGGTTGCCCTGCATCCACGGTTTTTCTGGATTCAAAGAGCGCGCTCGTGTTGTCTGTATGTATATGTATATATATTTATGTGTGAGTGTGTATATGTGTATGTGACACATGGTTTTCTCCTACAATCTCTGTCCATCATTAAATCTAATAGCGTGTGTAAATCATTCCAAATGCAAGCAGACTGTTTTTACTAAATATGGCATTAATGATTGTGGAAAGTAAATTGTGATTAGGTTTTCCAATTGAGCAGTAGCAGCAGTTTCCACGTTCATTTACGAATTCGTAATTTTCATTATGAATCGTCCAGTATCTTTCTTGATTATTTATTGGTAGTCCAGCTACTGGTCAGCCGCTCCCCTATTTGTGAATTCCGTTTGATCTCGTGTGGGTGCAAACAATGCGAAACCATTTCTTGTAGTATATTAGCAAGAAGTTGCTTTTGCTTTTTTTTTATCAGATGCGCGCAATTTCGTTTTCGTTTTGAATGGCGAACGTCTTCAGCGAAGTGAAATACGTCGACTCGATTGAGTGGGATGAGCAATTTCCAGATCTGAACGTGATTCCCAATCTTTGGTGTCATTTGCTAGGTATCGAGAGAGAATGTAAACGAGTTTTCTCTTTATTTAATTGTCACTGATTGCGCTCGGTACGACCACTTTAGGGGTATTTACCTGTCCGACAATTTTCGTTCGGAGAAACTTTATATTTTGTATTGAGGATTTCTATTTGTACACACGTCTTTCTTAATATATCCATAAGTTTATTTCGATATTTCCACTTTGTAATCATTTCTTTTAACCTATTAAGATTAAGTAAATTCGTGATTTTGAACGCGTCTCGTGCATAAAACATTCGCTTAGATATGGAATTTATTTGCAAAGTCTTTCAGTTAATGTTCCCATTCATCTTTTTCTTTTTATTTACTTACACGTTATAACTCCTTCTGCCTGTCCATTCATTTCCTCACTTCCACACCTAAACCTTGTAATCATTAGCCGGTTTCTATCCACACCATCCTTAAAGATGAAGGTAACGCCCTGAAAACGTGTACCTTTTTTAATTAGGGCTTATACCTGCTTACCTCAATAATTGGCTCTCTTGCGCATCCCATTTTCTTTTTCACCTTTACCTCTTTGTCCATCATCTCATCTATCTTTCATTATTTTAATAATATTTTACAAATTCTATATAAGTATTTAAACTGTAAAACAATAACATTGTACATCGCATAGTGCGAGTAATCAGTGCCACTAATATTACTGCTTGAAACCGTACTAATTGAGGACCTTAAAACCAATAAAAACGATCTTTTATGTATAAAAAAT